AGTTCCGTGATATTCGTCGGGGGGTGCCAGGCTTTCACCGTATCCAACTTCTTTGGGTCAATTTTGACCCCAGCCTTTGAAATAACGTACCCAAAAACTCTAGCCTGTCCTGAAAAAACTCGCACTTGGAACCCTTTGTCAGTAGCCGATGCTAGTATAAAATTTTAAAGATTGCTTCCAGATCTTCGAAGTGCTGCTGCTTGTCGCGTCTGTAGACGAGGATGTCGTCGAGGTAAACTATCACGAATTTATCTAAAAGTGGCCTAAACGTCTCGTTCATGGCCATCTGAAATGTCGCTGGTGCGTTGTTCAGCCCAAAAACCATCACGGTGTACTCGAACGACTCGTACCTAGTCCGGAAAGCTGTTTTGGCGCAGTCCGGTGGTTCGACCCTAATCTGATGGTAACCTTCCCTTAAATATATTTTCGAAAAAACTTGTGCTGTTCGCAGTTGGTCTATCAGTTCGTCGGCGCGGGGAATGGGGTACTGCGACTTGTTGAGCACTCGGTAATATATGCACATTCGAAAACCTCCGTCTTTTTTTGGCGTGAATAGTATCGGTGCGGCGAACGGTGACGAGCTCGGTCGGAAGAATTTCTTCTCTAACAAGTAATCTAATTGCTTCCTCAGTTCGTCGAGCTCGGGTTGTGTCAGTCTGAACTGGCGCTGTACAGTTGGCTGTGCCCCCGGTTCTAGTTCTATCCGGTGTTCATGTGCTCGCTGAGGTGGTAGTCCTTCCGGTAAGTCGTCGGGAAAAATCCCGGGGTATCGTTTCAACGGTTCTTGCAGTTCGGAGGTACTTCTGCCGGTAGTTTCTTGAAATCACTCGGCTGCTCTGCTCCCTCTACCACTGTAATGTCGACTGCGTACACGTCAGCTCCAGCAGCGACAGCCCGTTTCATGGTGATGGCGTTGACGTGTACCGTTGAAGACTCGAGCGATTGCCAGCGAGGTAGCTCAACCCAGTTACCGCCACTTCGCACAGTGCAGCTACCCGTCGTCCAATCAATTCACGGGTTATACCGTCGCAGCAAATCATGTCCCAGTAAAAGGTCGTGTCGATCTAGTGTCGTCGCGAGCATTTCCTGTGTAAATCCAAAAATTCCCCCGCAGCGGACTTTGACTCTCTCCACCCTTTCCCGTATGGCCAGTGGCGTGCCGTCAACTAAGCATGAATCAATCTGAGGTAAACAACGGTGAAGTGTCAATTGCAATTTTTGTGCGGTTGCGGTATTAACTAAACTGTGACTTGCTCCTCCGTCGATAAAAATATTCACTGTTGCTCCCTGTATTTTCCCGTGGATCAGTACTGGGCAATCCGTCGCTCTACCCTCTGTGAAGAATGAGGAATGAATGAACTAGCAAGCAGGTGGGTACAAGTAGGAAAACCTAGAAATGTTGTACCCCATATAGTCTACCCCACTACAACCTACATAAACTATAGCATATAAGTTTGACACACCCCCATAGGCAAAGTGGGGGAGAACAAGAGGTCACAAGACCAGTCAAGCAAAGCAAAGCAAGCTCAGGGTGGATCACAACGTCACCACACAATCCGAGGACAAGTTCAAGGCAAGAAGGCCAGTTCAGATGCAAGATCATATATAAAGGTAAACAGGCAGGTGCAGGTATAGAAAGATAATAGTACAAGCAAGGTTAAGAAGTGAGCAAGTGAGGACAAGTAGGCACAAGACCTAGCATCGTACAGAAGCGCTGATGATCACCAGGCGGAAGTGCCTTGGTAAAGATATCAGCAGTGTTGGCCTCAGAGGCCACGTAAGCAAGGCGCAGCTGACCACGCTGCTGCAGCTCACGAGCAAGGAAGTAGCGAAGAGCAATGTGCTTCGTTCTGTGCTCCAGTCTGTGCTCCCGACACAAGGCCAGCATGGCCTTGTTGTCTACGTACAGAACTGGAGGAGAACGAGGCGGCTCTCCTAGGTCCGTCAGCAGGTAGGTGAGCCAACGTAGCTCTTGTGCAGCCATGGCCCTCGCGTAGATCTCAGCCTCACAGCTGGAGCCGAGAACAGAAGACGAGCGGGTAGACCGCCACGAAACACAGCCGGAGCCAAGGCTGAAGGTGTAACCCTGTGACGACCGTTGCGTAGCCTGGTCGTAAGCCCAAGAAGCGTGTGTGTGACCTGTGAGGACCACTCGACGTCGCCCTCCAAGCACTAGCCCCATGCCTGACGTACTGCACAAGTAGCGCAACACCCTCTTCGCTACAGCCATGTGCTCCGGTCTGTGTCTCCCAGGAGCAACATAGTGTGCCAAGATGCTAAGAGGGTATGCAAGGTCAGGTCGTGTGCAGGTCATCAGGTACATGAGGCAGCCAACAAGCTCTGGGTGCGGGCCATTCGGCTCTACGGATTCATCCGAAGGCAGAGCTGAGAGCGAGTGGCGAGTAGACAGAGGAGTGGCCTGAGGCGAGAAGTACGTGAAGTTGAAGCGCTGAAGGACCTGCTGCACCATGTGTGACTGAGTCAGGGTAATGGTGCGGCGTGCTCTGTCCCGGGTGATCTGCAAGCCAAGGTAGCTGCGCAGTTCACCCAGGTCTGTGCACGTGTGTCTCTTCTGCAGCTTGGACTTCACGTAGGCTAGTCCACCAGTGTCAGCAGTGGCAAAGACCAAGTCGTCGACGAACACGAGGATGTAGAACAGCGGCAAAGAGGTGTCGGTGCGCAGTACCCCCTGCGGCAGCACCAGCGCTGACAGCACCTCCAGCTCCAACAGCGCCAACTCCAGCACCCTCAGAAGCACCAGCGCCAGCAGCACCTCCAGCGCAAGCACCCCCAGCAGCTCCAGCTCCAACAGGTCTAACTCCAGCAGGACCACCAGCTCCAGTACCCCCAGTACGAGCACCTCCAAGACTAGTGGCTCCAGTAACTCTAGTGCCGACCCCAGGGTCAGCAGCAACAGTAGCACCTCTAGCTCCAGCAGCACGGCTCCTGCGCCGGGCAAACCACTCGTGCAGCTCCTGCGGAGAGAGTAGCTCCCGCCTCGACGAAGCACCGCCAGAGGCCACACGAGCAGACCCAGCACCCCCAGGCTTGGTACCCCCAGGCTCAACACCCCGAGGCTCCGCACCCCCAGGCTCAGCACCCCCAGGCTCCGCACCCTTAGGCTCAGCACCCCCAGACCCGGCACCCGTAGGCTCAGCACCCCTAGCAGCACCAGAGTCAACAGCTACCTCGACAGGCTCGACTGCGTCAACCTGGGACACACTTGACGGGGCAGGACCCTGAGGGGGGAGGGGGTCTACTGGGGGAGGACCTGGCGCAAGGAAGAGCAGCGGCGGGGGGAGGGAAGCAGTGCGGTAGGGGAAGAGACAGTAGTAAGGCACCGACTCGTCAAAGGTGACGTCCTGGGAGGACAGAACACGGCGCGAGGTGGGGTGGTAAAACTGCCAACCAGGCGCGTCAGGGGGGAAGCCAAGGAAGACGCAGGGAACAGCACGGGGGGACAGCTTGTCCGCAGACAAGTCGCAGACAAACGCCCGAGATCCCCAGACCCGAAACGCAGACGCATCGCCAACCTTCCGCGTCCACCGCAAGGTGGGGGAGGTCTTTGGCAAGGAGTGCGGAGATAACTGCAGCAACGGGAGCTAGGCTACGTGCTAGGCACGTGTGCTCGTGTGATCTCTGCGTTCGTTAGTCCTTAGTCGTTTTCCTTGTGCACACACTACTTGCTAGTTCACGGGGAAAATTGGCAAGAGTTTCACTAGGAAAAGTTCAGAACAATGGTACAATGAAGTTGGCAATGCAAGACTACATCAGAGCTAGCATTCAGGTTGGTCGACTGCCAGCACAGCATGGTCAACCGCGTTCCAGCACGACTTGGTCGACCACGCTACAGCAGTGCAAAGTCGACAACTTGCCAACGCTGCAGGTTGACGGTGTGCCAGCATTGCTCACGCAGGACAGCAGTGCACCCGCTTTGCAGGTGCGCGCAGATGATTGGCATGCAAAGTCTCGTCACTTGCACAGCGCACACACCACGTCAACCTCGGGCTTGCGACTGCCTCTGATCCGCCACGACGACCTCGGGATACCACCATGGAGGTCGGTCTCGCCAACTTCGCCTGGGTGACCATCGCACTCCTTCGCAGAACCTCGTCACCCAGGTATCCTGGTCGACCGGGCAACTATGTCGACCAGCTGCTCCTGTATGTGCTCGTCGACCTCCCAAGTCGACAACCACACCAAGTCGACCTCACCAGGTCGACCACTCCTCCGATCGACCAGATCCAGGTCGACGTCACTCCTGGTCGACCAGTGCAGTTGTCAGCTACCCAAGTCGGCGTCACCAGGTCGACGCCCCTTCTACGTCGGCGCCGACTTCCAGACTGACCTCTTGAAGTTGGCGACCTCCCAAGTCGGCGACCTTGCAAGTCGGCGCCGACTTGCAAAGTCGGTGACCTTGCAAGTCGGTGACCTTGCAAGTCGGTGACCTTGCAAGTCGGTGACCTTGCAAGTCGGTGCCCTTGCAAGTCGGCGCCGACTTCCAGGTCGACGTGCCACATCGCCGACCACCAGTTGAAGTCGGCCGCTGGCTTCCCAAGTTGGCGGTATTGCAGTGGCGCCGTGCAAGTCGACCAACCCCGTCGACCAGCTCGTCCAAGTCGGCGTCGCCCACTGCTACAAGTCGGCTGTACCTTCCGTACACCCCACCACGAAGTCGGCTCCGCCCAAGCGTGGACGGGGCCAACACACAATTCCCGTTGACAAGGAGACATGGGGCTGAAGGTTCAGCTGATGCGCTGCGTACTGAACCGCAAACGGCCACAGAAAATGGGGAGCAGTCGCATGGATCATGGACGTACGAGCGACGTCCATGACCATGCCAATGCGGCGCTCAGCAATCCCATTTTGGTGTGGAGAGGCCGGAAGCGTGAAGGTCTGGCGGATGCCCTGTGCACGAAGGCTCCCAGACGGGCAGAGGAAAACTCCTCGCCTCTGTCAGAGTGCAGACGTAGAATAGGAAAGTCCGAGCCGGAACTCTCTCAAAGCTGGAGACGAGCTGCGATCCAGTCGATCAACACCTTAGTGACGTCACCCTTGCTGCGCAAGGGGAACACCGTGGTGTAACGCGAGTAGTCGTCAACCACCAACAGGAAGTAACGCTCATGACCCTGGCCACGGACGGGGGCTGGGCCCCACACGTCCATGTGAAGAGTCTGCAGGGGAGCCTCTGTCGGAGGAAACTCGGAGGAGTGAGGGGCGGCGCGCTGCCGCCCCTCGACGCAGGGAACGCAGGTAGGGGCAGGCCCCGGAGGGAGGGGAGGGAGGGACCGTGGGAGACCAGAGACAAGGACACGGGAGGCCATGCCTCGGAGACGAGGCACGGAGGGGTGACCAAGGCGGTGGTGCCAAAGGAGAGTCTGGTGGGACAGGAGACGACACGAGCAGGGAGCAGACTCAGGACCAAACCTGGACGCTGCAGCAAACACCTGACTCGACGCAGCTACCTGATCAGACTCAGCAACCGGAGGAGACTCAGTAGTCAGTGTGTACAGGCTCGACCCCGGTCGACGGGTAAACGTGGCCAAGTGTCGGCCCGTCCGAGCACACGTACACTGGGTCACCCGCTGACTCACAGGAGTGAACTGGTCAACCCCCCGATCCTGTAGATCAAGACCATTCACCAAGTTTGTAGAGAACGAGGGGAGGTAGAGACCTGTTAGGGTGCCAGAGGGGGCTGCCTGACACGGTAAGACAGTGGAGAAGCGAGCAAGGACAGGACCCCCTGAGGGGTCTGCCAGGGAGACCACAACCGGCCGACTAAGCTGCGTAAGCGTGGTGCGGTCTCGAAAGAAGGAGCGGGAAGCACCCGAGTCAAGGGTGAAGGTGTGTAAGGCCTGAGCCGACGTGGTACCTGAGATAGCAGACTCACCAGCACCTGGGGCAGCAGACGCACTAGCACCTAGAGCAGCAGCCTCACCAGCACCTAGAGCAGCAGCCTCAATGCCCGGGCTAGGCAAAACACACAGGTAACAGTCACCCTCATCACTAGTAGACACAGCATACATGGCAGCAAGAATAGCATCATAGTCAAGATCAAAGATAGCAACCCCCGCCCTTGACAGCTCTCCCCAGCGAGGGATCTCAATGGTGTCAGGGAACTGGTGACTCCAAGCGTCCGTCAGGCGGCGGAAGCAGCGCTGGGTGGAGTGCGAGCCCCCGCACTGCTCACCAGCGCGGTCGCCAGTACGGAGGACGTAGGTACAGGGACCAGTACCCCCACCTCGCTGACGCCCAGCGTACCACTCACGAAGCTGCTGGGGGGACGGGGTCTCACGATTGCGCTGCTCCTGCTGGCGCTGACCACCACCTAAGCCGCCCCGCTGTGCAGAGCCACCCCGACTAGCTCCACCTCCTCCGCCACCACCTCCGCCACCGCCGCCACCGCCTCCTCCTCCGCTCCCACCGCCACCGCCGCCGCCGCCACCGCCGCCACCGAAGCCCCCACCCCCGCCACCACTCCCACCACCACCCCCACTCCCTCCGCCTCCTCCACCTCCACCTCTACCGCCCCCGCCAGCCCCTCCATTGCCCTTGCCCCCCTTGCCCTTGCCGGTGCGGCGTCGCCCGCTAGGGTCAGACGCAGCACCGTCCGACTCGGTGCCAACGAAGTCGACGGCAGCAGCAGAGGCAACAGAGGGCAAAAGGGGGGAGGGGGAGCACCCCTCAAAGACAGGGGCACGCGGGTCACCTCTAGAGGCTCCTACAGCGACTATACTCTTCTCAGCTGCCAGGGGGCGCTCCTCGAGGAGGTCAACGATGAGTGTGGTGGGGAAAACAGAGAGGAAGTGGTCCCTGACCGAGCGAAGGGAGTCAGGGAGCCGGGTGACTATGTAGTAGAGGGTGATGTACATGGGGGGGGGGGGGGGGGGGGGTTCTTGGCGCAGAACTCAGCAGGAAGCGCAACGCGGTAGCGGGTGTCACTAGTGCGAAGGTGCGTAACGAGGTCAGCGACAGTGGGAAAGGCGGCGAGGTCAGGAAACAGGTACGGCAGTATGAGACGGCTAAGAGCAGCAATGGCAGGGGAAGAGTAGCGTGCAACTACACCGTCGTACAAGGTCTGAGCACTCTTGTACTGACTAAAGTGCGCACGCTCAGTGGTCGGTAAGTGGCGACGCACAGCAAGACGGGCAGCACCATCGCGCGTGGCCCACTGTGAGCGAACAGTGCTGTCAGCATCAGCACGCGGGGCAGGAGAGGCACCAGAGGTGAGATCGAACAAGGAGAGTCCGTCTGCCCTATTGAACTGTAGGAAAAGCTGCAGATTATTGACCCAGACCTCGAAGTCAACAGCACGACCCTCAGCATCAAAGGTAAGGACACTGGGGGTAGCCATGACAGCAGCGGTCTAGCAGGGAGGGCTCTCACCAATCCGGGTGGGTAGGGCCGGGGCGCGCCGGGAGGAACAAGGCTGCAACAGCGGTGGCAGCGGCTCGGCAGTGGCAGTGGCGGCTCGACGATGGCCTCGGCGGCTCGGAGGTAGGCGGCTCGGCTGCTCGGCGACTCGGTGGCTCGGCTGTTGGGCGGCTCGGCGGTTCGGCAGCTCGGCGGTTCGGCTGCTCGGCGGCTCGGCGGCTCGGCGGCTCGGCTGCTCGGCTGTTCGGCTGCTTGGCGGCTCGGCGGCTCGGCAGTGAAGGGGCCAGGGAGGGGCCGAAATGGGGTGGCGTCGAGGCCGCAAGGGGCGGCGACGAGGCCGCTAGAGGGTGGCGACGGGGCCGGGAAGGGCAGCGACACGGGCCGCTGGGGGCGGCGACGGGGCCGCGAAGGGCGGCGACAGGGCCGCGAAGGGCGGCGACGGGGCCGCGAGGGGCGGCGACGGGGCCGCGAGGGGCGGCGACGGGGCCGCGAGGGGCGGGAACGGGGCCGCGAAGGGGCCGCAAGGGGCCTGGAAGGGCGGCGACGGGGCCGCTAGGGGCGGCGACGGGGCCGCAAAGGTGCCGCGAGGGGCCTGGAAGGGCGGCGACGGGGCCGCTAGGGGCGGTGACGGGGCCGCGAAGGGGCCTCAAGGGGCCTAGAAGGGCGGCGACGGGGCCGCTAGGGGTGGCGATGGGGCCGCTAAGGGTGGCACGAGGGGCCATGAGAGGGGCCTCTAGGAGGGCTCGACAAAAGGGCGGCCAACGGAGCGCGCTTCGGGCAGGGGCGACTCGCGCTCCGGTCAGAAAAAAGAGTCGATGTTCAGTGGTGGGCCCTAGGAAGTTCCCACTAGGGAACCTGCTCTGATACCATGTGAGAATTGAGGAATGAATGAACTAGGAAAGAGGTGGGTACAAGTAGGAAAACCTAGAAATTTTGTACCCCATATTGTCTACCCCACTACAGCCTACACAGACTATAGCATATAAGTTTGACAGGCGCTGGCGCTGACGCACATGCCCGTGCGCGGGTGCGCACGGTTGTACGCAGCTGCGCGCTGCTGCTGCTGCGGTCGTGACGGAACGGGGCGAGGCAGGCGACGCGTGAAGGGACGGGACGGCGCGCAGCGGGGGCGTGACGGATGGGAAGGGCGCGCAGGGCGCGACGGACGGACAGGGCAGACGGGCGCGACGGGGAGGGCGCAACGGGCGCGACGAGCAGGCCTTCGGAGCGCGAAACGGGGGGGCCTGCAGAGAGCGAAACGCGGGACTTGTGGGTGTTGTCCATGGGGCGATTCGGGGGACCCGCGGGGCGCATTACGGGCTGCGCGACGGGTGGGCCCATGATCCAAAAAAAAAAGGTCTTCGGATCTTACAGCTCTGGTTACCATGTCAGAATAGTAGCCTTAGGGTTTGGGGTAGCGTGAGCGAGAGAAACAGGAAGGAAGGGGTTTTTTTCACTATAGAGTCAAAGGTACAAAAAGGGAGGAAAGGGGGTAAACCACCAAACAAGAAAATGTGATAACTACACTACTGCTAGATCTACATGCGGTTATAATAAAGTAATTATGACACAAACAACTGACTCGTTATTGAGCAGTTGCCCGAGTCGTCACTGTATCGAACCGCAACAGCAACAGTAAAACAGTTAGAAGCTATAACCTTTGATATTCCCTTGTACTCTTATAAAAGCTTTTATCTCTTTGCTTTAATCAATCTACTTTGCCCTCACATACCAGCGCAAGGTGGTTCACACACTTTTCAATAAACGCTTCCGCTATTACATTGTTCTACTCAGAGTTTAGTCCTGCAAAGATCCTAAGGGCTTTTCTCAGCCCAACAAGACACACTATGTGCGCAATAGTTGTCTATGTTGTGGTACAGGAATTGTTCATATACCGAAATCTTTCGTAACAGGGCACCGAGAAAACTTCTAATCGCCATTATTGCCGTTCATCCGTTCACCTTAGAAACAACTCTCTTGCACAGAGCTCTCAACCCAACCCAAACTAGTTTAGTCCAGCTTAACCCAGCCCAACCCACACGATGCGTCCTTCGCCTATTGCTCTTCACCAGTGTCATCACATCCAATCCCTCACGTATTAGAATCTAAGGCAAGGAATGATTGAACTATCGAGAAGTTTGGTACAAAAGCGAAACCTAAGGGTTTGTACCCCACAGTGAGTACCCTGTTGAAATGTATTTGTATACATTCATATAAATGCCTACAGTAGCCTACAAAAGCGTTGATGATCACAAGGCGGAAGTGCCTTGGTAAAGATATCGGAAGTGTTGGCCCGAGAGGCCACGTAAGCAAGGCGCAGCTGACCACGCTGCTGCAGCTCACGAGCAAGGAAGTAGCGAAGAGCAATGTGCTTCGTACTGTGCTCCAGTCTGTGCTCCCGACACAAGGCCAGCATGGCCTTGTTGTCTACGTACAGAACTAGAGGAGAACGAGGCGGCTCTCCTAGGTCAGTCAGCAAGTAGGTGAGCCAACGTAGCTCCTGTGCAGCCATGGCACCTGTGTAGATCTCAGCCTCACAACTAGAGCCGAGAACAGAAGACGAGCGGGTAGACCGCCACGAAACAGAGCCGGAGCCAAGGCTGAAGGTGTAACCCTGTGACGACCACTGCGTAGCCTGGTCGTCAGCCCAAGAAGCGTCTGCGTGACCTGTGAGGACCACTGGACGCTGCCCTCCAAGCACGAGCCCCATGCCCGACGTACTGCACAAGTAGCGCAACACCCTCTTCGCTGCAGCCATGTGCTCTGGTCTGTGTTTCCCAGGAGCAACATAGCGCGCCAAGATGCTAAGAGCGTATCCAAGGTCATGTCCAGTGCAGGTCATCAGGTACATGAGGTAGCCAACAAGCTCTGGGTACAGGCCACTCGGCTCTACGGACTCATCCGAAGGCAAAGCTGAGAGCGAGCGGCGAGTAGACAGAGGAGTGGCCTGAGGCGAGGAGTACGTGAAGTTGAAGCGCTGAAGGACCTGCTGCACCTTGTGTGACTGAGTCAGGGTAATGGTGCACTGTGCTCTGTCCCGGGTGATCTGCAAGCCAAGGTAGCTGCGCAGTTCACCCAGGTCTGTGCACGTGTATCTCTTCTGGAGCTCAAACTTCACGTGGGCGAGTCCAGCAGTGTCAGCAGTAGCAAAGACCAAGTCGTCGACGTACACGAGGATGTAGAACGGCGGCAAAGAGGTGTCTGTGCGTAGAAACAGCGACGGGCTGGCAGTAGAAGGAGCAAACCCAAGAGCCGCAAGTGTAGTCCTCAGTGTGTCGTGCCACTCACGGGGCGCCTGGTAGAGACCGTAGACTGGCCGCCGGAGGCTCAACTGGGTACTAGGAGGAAACGACCCAGTGAAGCCAGGAGGGCGGCGCAGCCAGATCTCCTCGTGCAGGCTGCCCTGTAGGAAAGCAGTGCTGAAGTCAAGAGAGTGAAGCTTGTAGTCGCGCTGAGCGGCTATGTGCAGCAGCACCCGAAGAGTGGTCATCTTCGAGGTGGGAGAAAAGGTCTGAAAGTAGTCAACTCCTTGCCGCTGACTGAAACCTCGAGCCACGTAACGCGCCTTGAAGACAGACGGAGAACCCGGCGGCCGCTTCACCCTGAAAATCCACATGCCACTGACGATGTTTGCCCCAGGTGGGGGAACCTCGTCGACGTAGGTGCCTGTGGACTTCCAGGAAGCCATCTCTACGTCCATGGCTGACTGCCACTGAGAGGAGTAGGGACCCTCTATCGCCTCTGCATAAGAGCGCGGAGTCGGGATGTCTGGTGCATCCGGGTCTCCCTTAGGGGCAATCAGCATGGACACGAGATGACGTAAGGTAGCAGCAAAACACTGGAACTCCTCTTTCCTGTCCTCAAGAACGTCCGTGCTAAGAGCACACTCACCCCTGATGGACGGAGGACAGACAGACCTAGACTCAGCAACAAGACTAGCACTGTAGTCTAGACGACAGTGAGCAGCGAAGTCGACAAGCTCAGCAACTAAGGCAGACGCAGCAGAGGACTTAAAGGAAGGGTCAGTGACAACAGGAGCCAGGAGACGCGTGACGGTAGGACTGGCAGCACGAAGGGAGCCATACCCCGGGTCAGCAAGAGCAGGAAGAGAGGACTCTGGAGGAGACGGCAAGGGGACACGCAGTGGAGCAGTGGAAGGATGTAGTGCCATCTGGTGCGTGCCCGGGACCGCAGGAGGACGCGGACGCGGAACACGACGACTAGTGCGAGCAGCACGAACAGGCGACGCAGGACGGGACGCACGCTCACGACGCTCAGCAAGACCTCCAGTAGGACCACTGTAGGGAGAAGGAGCAGGCAGTGGGGAGGCGGGCTGTAACTATGACTCAGACTGGACAGGCGGCGGACACTCTAAGGAAGGAGCAGGACCAAGAGAAGGCGGAAGAC